GAGGGAACGATCTTTGTCTATTGGTTGTTGTTTACCGCCCACCACCGTCTACTCCTGAGATGGACTGCAATTTGATGGCTGCGTTGAGGCAAGTGATAAACAGAAAGTATAGTCACATTCTAGTCACCGGTGACTTCAACTTACATGTCCTCAAATCCCGGACCACACCAGAAAAGCAATTCAAAGCAGATTTGCAAGAGCTGGTTTCAGACTTCCCGCTTTATGGCCACGTCACTACGCCCACCAGGTTCAGGGGAACTGACAGGCCATGTATGTTGGACCGAATATTCACTAATGAAGAACTGATGGTCGAGAGGGTGATAACCGATACTCCTTTTGGCCGCACTGATCATGCGACGCTATTGTTTCATTACATGTGCTACGCGGATTATCCTAAACAGAAATCTAAGCAGCCGCCATCTCAATTTAGCGGGTCAGTACAGTATTTTTGAATGTCATCGACATTTCTCTTCCGTACGTGTTTTTCGATTGGAGAATGCCCTCCCGGAATTTGTCACCTGTGCTCCCATACTGGTGGAGTTCAATGCTCGAGTGTACTGTGCATTCAGTTCTCTGCTCCATCTCACATGACTCATGGCCCATTCCCAAACCCGAATGTCTGTGCTAGAAAATTCACTGCCGGTCAGCTCCCAGAATACATGCTAATTTTCTCTCCTCTTGCACATGTTTATCAGCATGTCACCAGGTTCTTACAGAAGTCCCATTTATCGTCGTTTGTAATGACTTTGCAGTGGATGTACGGTTTTAATGGGTATACCTCGGTGAGTCCGCCGGTATGAACTCACTTTGTAATAGTCATCATGACCATTCTACGGGACCTCTTAAGCTTAGTCTATGTTAGTCTTGTATAACCAGACTGATTATGCCACGGCCGTAGATGCATTCGAAGTGTAAACGAGCTTCATGCCTTCGCTTATCCGATGACAATGGTCAGATAGGAACACATAGAGAATGTTGAGGGTCTAAATCAATGCTCTGTATCATACCACACGTGCCCGTCTTCGGTTGCGATGTGCGACGTTAACTTTTTATTATCTGCGTTCGGCAGATATCAAGGAAATCTAATTAGGAAAGCGAGTAGTACTCAGTTTAAATACGATTAATGTAGATATGGGTCGATTGTGTGGTGGGCGATCCATTACGTTTGCAGTGCAATATCACTGTCAATCCGCAATTGATTGCGTAAATATAAAGCTGATGTGCTATGCTTCAGACAGGTTAGGAATGCGACACTACGATATGTTCATAAGGTTTACTTGTACGGCACAGACATTTTAAAAGTAATTTGCCTCCCGATCATTGTCGAAGTTCACCTCCGAAAATCCAAATGAACACTGGGCAACAATCCAAATCTTCTACTAAAGAACACAATGCCATATTACACTGTAAATCACTGCATTCAAACACATTTCAAATGGTGGATTCTTTTCGATCATCGGCCTGAATTCATTGCTTGGCACTCATCGTTCGTTCGCCGCTGTATGGACCACTTCCATCTTGACTGGAACAACGCTGTTCAGCGTTGGGTGGAGAAAAATCGAAATAACTCTATTTCGGTTACCGTCCTTGTGATCGTAGTGAACAAGGTCTACTTCAAAGTTAACCGGTCTTAATAGTGGTGGCATGTCACAAGCCAACCACACAGCGGGTACTTCAAATCCAACTTTGAATTCCTTACCGCTGTGGCAGACATTGCTTACCGATCTTAGAGCCATAGTGATCAAGGCGTCAGCTTTTAACCACTGGCCCTGAGTTCCACCCTAGCTCATCTTATCTCCATCTGATGAGTCCAAACCAAAACGAAACCGGTTATCGAGTGTCAACTTTGTGAGGCGAAACAGCGAACCACCTCCGGAAATGATCCTTGTGATCTAAATGACCGAGGTCTACTTCAAAGTGAACCGAGGTCTGAATAGAGAATGCGTGTCACTACCCAATCATACAGCGGGTACTCTAACTCCAAGTTTAAAAATTGTTCTATGTTCAATGTACTCTAACCCATCTTGGCCGTTTCATTCGGTTCTTGCAAATATGAGCAGCTAACTATGTCTGCAGAACTGATTGGCTTTCCATTTGCCTGCTCTTTCGGTTTCACTTGCTCGGCCTATCCGCTGTCATCGCTCGATAATGCCATCCACTCCGAATCAGTGTCACGTACGGAAAACTCACTTCGTTTGATCGTGACGGAGAGCCTACGTGACTCACAACGCTGCAACCCACTTCCCACTTGTTCATTCGACCCGTTTAAACGTGGTCACTTTGTACTCTGAGTGTAGATTGGCTCCCCGGTCTACTGGCCGCTCTTTGTTCGAACGCCTGACTTGTCAGCTACCATCACAATCACCTTGTATTTGATCTAAATTCAAATAAATGAGTGGGAACCTTTCCCCTCATGTGCGGAGCCAGAAGCGTAAGGAATAATAACTGCGGCGTCCTTACATAGTGTTGGCATAGTGCCGGCCTTCATAGATAGCGATAGAAAGTTTACAACCAATGTGAGAATGTTTTCACCACATGATTTCATAAGTGCAAGGAATGGATATTCGGGATCATTACGGTAAAACAATTTATTGCAATAAATATCATTAAGTATGTCAGGATGATAAAGATTAACCGTGTGTAGTTTGATCCAGTACAAATAGGGGATGTTTTGAGGCTGATTACTCCTTTTTGGACTCATCAGCTTTGTTTTCTCCGCAGTTGCATTGGAGTTCGGGATGTAATGGTTGGCTGCGGACGCCTTGATTACTAGGTCGATAAGATATCGAGAACACATTGGAACGCATCGAACCTGAAGTGTTATTCACCATGCTAGCCCTACGGGCAAATGGCTCCCAGAAGCCTTTGTTAGGTGTCATGGCAGACCTGCGGAAAGTGAAAGGCTGGTCAGTTTTTATGCACCAAAATGTCTCTTCAGCTATAGCTACCATCCAAAAGTGATCCTGTGACCAAGAAGGTAGAATGACGCACAGCAGTCGTTTTACGACGCGTATTAAATGCTCTTAAAATTCTGTCTTCTCTGGGCGACTTAAAAGCTCCACGGCTCCAGTCAAGCTTACTTTCCAATCTCCGTCAAACGTGCCGTATTTATCTCTTTCCTTGTAACAGTGGAGGCAGTTACATCGGCCGAACTGATTGTTGCTTGTGTAAGCGGATTGGGGAGCACATGTCAAAGCGTATGGTCATCATGACAAGGCAACCAAAAATTGAACCTGTGCCGACGAACGTGATACCCGCCTCCTCGGTTTCCAAACAGATGATTCGCACTAATCATCAGCTTGACACATACTCTGCATTTGCTGTCATCTATCATAACACAAACGCCAGAGTCCTTAACTTTTTACCGAGGCAGTGCCCATAAACAATCATCTTTCAACACTATGCATCCAGAAGCAACTGCTTGTTACGCTCAACCTCAACTGGAGTGCGTAATACGTCCCTTGCAAGTGACTTACCGATTACAAATCTTTGAGTATTTTGTCACCTTACCCTTGCTTATGCTGCTCGTTTGTAAATGGACAGAGGGCACGTAATGGTAACATCTTGCAACATGTGCCTACTTATTGTTCTATACAAGTTAATGCAAGAAACCCAGCGATTCCGAGTTTGAAGTACTTGCTCTGTCAAAGTTGTGAGACGCAACCCATCTACCTGATTAGTTCAAATAAGGACGAAAAGGTAGTGTTGCTAGCGAACAACCTCAGTAATTTTTCTCTTCGGATACGGTCACAGTGAGCGGAGCAATGTTAATTTGCCTTAGATGGAATCGAGATCCCAACAGATATTAAAGTCGCAATCCAAACCCACAAGGCAGATTGTTTCAACGGGCGTGTTTGTCTTGATGAGGGATGCACAAAGCGGCCACTGACGATCTCACCATTGTAGGCAGGATTAATAACCAGATTGTAAATCGGCGCTGAAAGGGAAATGATCACATAGGTTTTGCTTCGATGAACCGCAGTCTTGTCTAGATCCCAGAGCTATTATCCTTACGCTGAACGCCCGCAGCAACACCATTGTAATCGGTACGCAGATGAAATTTCGTACAAGGACGTCATTTGGCGGTTTAAGTTTGATAAGTTCCTCGCTTTGTGAGGGACCTACCCTGCTGTCTTCACGGTTGTAAAATACAAGTCAATGGTTAATGAGCCACCCCATTTCATGTCTAGTAACTTAATCACGATGGACATTACCGTCCCGCATAGTCCAGTGGATTTCGCCACAAGGTGGTGACAATCGGGTTGCGAGTTCTGGCCCCACATGCGCTAGATATAATCTGCCTTGATGACGATTCCTGAAAGGACGAAACAGCTGTACAGGGCTTTCCACAGTGTGTGATGGCTGTCTGCCTGAGTCTAGGTGCCGAGTATAACATTTGTTTCTGAATAGGCACCTTTCAGCGGTTGTTAGGCTATTATGAACAATCATATCGGCCCTTTTATACTCTTTATAATGAAATGCAAGGAAATAATTATGTGTATGAGTACCTATTGATGGTAAGCCATTTATTTGACCAGATAGGTACTTTTAGGAGAAATTTCTTATACCTGAGAAAGGTATAACATCACGAATAAGCACCCACACATTAGTTTTGTGGTATGTACTAACAAAGCTTTTGTTACCCATTTCTGTTTACATCTTACGATACCCGCATTGATCAGTTGCAGAATGTGACCTCAAATGTCATGAGTTCCATTCATGGTTCAAACACAACGTACGGAAGTGTGACTAGTTCATTTGCGGCCTTCTTCTAGTGAGTTATTTGAGTTCACGCTATCACGCGATTAGATGACAGATAGCGAAATAGCCTAGAAACGCATGCAGTCCACCCAACGGTATTTTGTTGTTGTGGTGGTTATGGTAGTGAACAGGTCCCACAAGAAAATTGCAGTATTTAGTGGAAATGAAATCATCTCTGATAGGTCAAACTGAGTTGCCGATTGTGTGGGTGCTTTATATGTGTTTGTTCTCTCAGTTGTGGCACCGATGAGTTTTGTCCAAAAGCGTAATTTGGCAACAGCCTCCATTCAAAATATTGACACAAACAAACAACAGGTTATGCTGCTTTACTAGTTTGTCAGTGCAAGATGTATCAAAGCGTTAGTAAAAAGGAAGGTTTTGGAGAGGTTAGGTGAGTTTCATAATTCACTGAACTTTCAACACTTCACACATTACTTGGTTAGCCATTTCTTAATTATTTTTCTTAATTGTTAGAAGTAACGTAGTTTCAATAGAAGGTGTACCTATTTGGCTTTTCACCAAACTTTATTACAAATTCGGTATTTTCGGTACTTCGCTGTAGTAGATTCCATTTTCGACCTGTGTTGCTGGAACTTCGATTCATCGATTCCAATCGCATCGAAGCACTTTGGAGAGACAACACACATTCGTATTGAGGCCATCCAGCTCTGTTCTTTTCTTCTTGACTGGTACTATGCTCGCACAGCACATTTGGTTACTTCTTACCAGACACATGACAAAACGGGATATTCAAACATGAACCTACCCGAGAGCATTAAACCTACTTTGACTAGACTTGTCTTGACTTGACAAGTGATTTTGGATGAATTGGATGGCGATACTGTTTGTCAGACACATGAAAAGTACATGCATGCTGATTTACTGCCTGTTATCGTAGCTGAGTTGTCACTTTTGATAAAACGTTAGGTGAAACGATTTTTAGCAAAGACCCGATATTCAAGCTTAGCCGACAATATCAGGTTACTAATTTTTTGGTTCAGTGAAAGAAATGTTTGAGAGCTTAACAGAGGTCTATACTGCTTGCGCGTTACATTAGTGGGAGTCTGGACAACATTATTGCATAGACGCTGTGATTCAAAGTAGATCGCCTATTTTAATTGGCGGTTTAAACATTTCTGGAAAGCTGTATCAAAAGAAGCATACTTTACAGAACTGTGCGGGAAGGTCCATTTAAGTTAGACCTGTGTGTGCTGCAGGATTAATTTGACTAACCGCACAATTCGGACTCTAAGTAACGTTAGCGGGTCGTGGGTCTATGTCACTATTGATATATGGCTGCCGAATGAAATGCTGCATTGGGGGGTACAAGTTTTTCATTACAAACAACCTGTTATAGCTAGGTGTCACTTGCTGTCTGCGTTTGTTCGTTTCATAAAACAAGTAACCCTGAACTATATATTGCTTTGGCCATGAGCATCACAGTCGTATGAGTTATGTGAATTATAAGCGAACCGGTATACCCTAATAAGGAGTTGCATTCACTTTTTGCATCTCGCTAAATGATTCATTCATGCGTATCACCAGTATTAAACGTTTGTCATTTCCATCCACCCTCAATGCACTGTAAATCATCCGCTCGTGGTGTATTAGCCCGGCGAAATTTCTCACTTACACATCATGGAGTAAACGAAATGGGAGTCTCCCAGTAGACCCCTTGTATATCAATTTTCCCAACCTTTGCATCGATTACAACCTGTAAGGAATCCAGCCACATGGGTAGATAAAAATACACTAGCAGGATGTTGCCGATGGAGATGATGCATATCGTTATGGTGGAGTCATTGTTTTATCAAATTACATAGTATCTGGCAAGCTAAATGCTGAATACTGTTTTGTGTGGGCAAATATTAATTTAAATTCGTACGACTCCATCGCAATACCAGCAAAAATGTTATAAAATATGTTTGCAACCCGTGATAACCTAATCGTTCTTCAAGTTCTTATGTAGCATTTCAAAATGTTTGACTTACAGTTTCACTGAGGCTGACAAATCCACGACATCATTGCTACTGAGTAATCGTCTTCTGAACCGAATGATGGTGAAATGTAAATCCAATGATGTCTTGAGTTGCTGCGAAAATATGGCCTTCATGAATTGTTCTAACAGACTGTTTCAGACTGTTTTACCACTCACGGTTCGAAGCACAGTGGGTGCAGTACTCTTTCAATCCCCTTCACCACAAGCTTGTACCGGTCTCTTCTTGTGTTGCATAGCGATCAAAAGTGAAGCAGCGGCTTTACATTGGGGAAGGTACCGAGATGTAATCTACAGTAGGTCATGATTTGATCCACTCGCACCCGACGATAGGACAATGTGTAGAGTCCTAAGTCCTCGCACCGAATTTCATATGGCAATCCTCGTAAACTTGCAATGAGCATCATAGCGACCTGTTGGATCGCTTCGGTCTTCTGCAGTTCGCCTTGAGCGATTGGATAGTAGGCAAGTGGGCCGTAATCTACTATGGTCTTATGATGGAAGAGAAAAAACGAGTGACGACCTCTTCAGACCTTGCACAGAAGCTGCGTTTGAGCGACAAAAATATGCATAGTCCGTTACGATATAGGCTGTTCGTGATGTCAACGGAGTTCAGATCTCTGCACAAGAGTACACCTAGGTCCTTCAGAGAAGATGTGGGAATTAGCGGTTGGCTGTCAATGTTGTAACTTGGGCAGTCCTCATCTTTTCCCTGGTTCATGAATATTGACTTGAGTGGATTGACCAGGAGACGGGCTTCTGCAGACGACCTGAAGAGACGGTTGAGGTCATGATAAACTAGGCTACATTCGTCTCTGGTGCAAATCACTCTCCGTATCTTCAGGCCATCCGCAAACACGGCACATAGTGACCGAAGAATCTTAGGTAGATCATTGATGTGGATTGGAAACAGAGTGGACCCCAACACTGTGACTTGGGCTACACCAGTTTCAGAGTGATACTAGTCAGTTAAAATATCCTCCACCACTTTCGCCTAAAGAGAAAGTCCTGGATCCACTAGTGTTGTGATCCACCAACACCGCACACACTTAGCTTATGGAGCAGGTCCTCATGGTTCACATTCTCGAACACCTCACTGAAATCGAGGTAGGTCACGTCAACACCTTTCCTTGGTTTACTGCCTGTAATAATTAATGCTTCGTCACGAACAGACTGATACTCTACGTGTAGTCAAGGGTAAACCGTATTTTGCGGGTTTTTTTGGGGTCCTTTGATTGGAACAGCTGTAGTGTACCCTTTTTCTCGCTCTTCGCGGCAACCTTGGCCAAACTTAGTGTCATACAAACCGGCCCCTAGTTGCCGACTTATCTGGGGTCTTTGCCCTTCGGTTTCACCACTGACCATTTCCAGTCGCTCGTCAATGAAGCTTCGGATAGTGATCTGTTATACAAGTCAGTCACAGCAGGTGAGATGACGGTCGGTAGTGACTTAAGAATCAGTGGGTGGAGTCTGTCGGGACCATCAGATTTGGTGCCTTCAAAGTTGGTGAATAGTTAATGCATCCATACAACACCGCAAAACCGGAATGTCTAGTCCGGTAAGCACGGTACACATGGACTTCTGTCCAGACACTTGGTCTTTTGAAAACACGGAAGTGAATTGTGCTACCACCGTAGACCCACACTCAGTACTTGAGGTTAGCGGCTGTCCGTCCGAGCCCTTAGCACGGGTAGTTTACCTGTTGGTGTGTGGCGCTGCTTCACGTAAGCAAAGATTCTGTTCAGCTTGGCCTTTGTGATGGTTGAGTTGCTTTTCGAAATATCGACTCTTGCTCGTCTTTTGCACTATTGCAAATAGTTCACTGCGTTCTTGAGGCTAAACTGTCCCGGTTGGAAATCCAGCTCGCAATGCTTTCATGTCAACAAAATGCAGCTTTAGGTACTTATGCCCAGAACTGTTTACTTGTGGTTTATTTATATTGACGGTTTAGTCAAGTGACACGTGTTCATAGGGTCCTTCTTTCCATTCATATCAAATTATAATTCTGACAATTTAATTTTAGCCTATCCGTAATCGATATTGAAAGTGCTGAAATGTGCTCATCTGGACACATAGAGCTTATTTTGATATCATTTGATATAGTAGGTGACAAACATGTTCAACGGTTGGTAAACAAATTGCTTTCTTGGGATGCTAGTTCCAAGCATCGATAACTGGATGCAATCAAAAGGGTTGTTATCAGGTCTGGTCAGATTCGATGCTGAGCAGTTTCGTGAAGTGGTCGCTGAAATTTGGTGACTACCTAGAGTTAAATGATATGTCTGGTCCTGTCTTTACCGTATGAACATGGAAGAAAATGAGTTTGTAATTTTTAACTTTCTCACGTGCATTGTTAAACACCCGATCCAAATATTTGCGTGTGCTACATTGCTTACCCCTACCCGCAAAACAACTTAGTACCAACTAGCAAACTGCCCAAGGACTCAACACTGTCCGGAATGCAAGATACTGTCGAGGTGTGGCACGAAGGACCAGAAGAGGTTTGCGTATAAATGCACAGGCATACCATACTTTAAGGCTACTAAAGCTAACTACAGAAGCATTTCCGACGAACGTTGTAATAGTTTCATTTCTGAATTCCGTGGATAAGACCTCACGCTGACTAATCTGTTGTCACTGATATGCCTCGCTTAGACCACACAAAATTGGTACCCCACTATGTGGCTACTAACCACAAGGTAGAGAATTCCGGCACAAAAAGGTGCTTTATAATGCGCCATGAAGTTTGATGAAATAAATGGGCACTCCGCAGCAATGGCATGGAAGTGTATAACTTTTATACGCATGAGGAACAAGTAGATGGTGAAAGGTGGCCTCTTTACTTAGGCCATGCGCAGGTTTTCTGACAATGTAAAATTCTGTGTTTTTAACTTATCGGGACATACCTACCCACATTGACCAATGCCAACCTTTCTATTTGATCATACAACACGGTTGCATTCGCCGAAACTTCGATCATCGCAGAATCCTCCTACCATTCCAATGACATCATTGCGCGGAATGTCAAAGTGCTTCGGTAAGCAGAATAATTGAACATTCATTTATGAAGAGCAAAGACACAGATCCGGTAGGCTATACAGGAAGATAAATGCGAATGCAGGGACCAGCTATGTGAATGAAATAAAATTCGCATCAACGAAGCGGCCGAATAACGACGCTTATCAATCAGGGCGACGAAAATGAAATAGTACCATGCACAAATGAATAGTTAGATATTATAGACCCCCCTTCTGGTAACTAACGATCAAGTCGGTGCCCGGAATCCCCGACCTTGGTACATGAGTGTGGATTGTAATTCCAGTTAGGTCGCGTTACAGGAACACATTCCAGAGTACCTCAATAAGGTGCAGAGAGCTTGTGCGATGTCCTAGTGC